CTTTGGAATTAGAAATGTGTTGACCCAAATTGTAGGGTACTTTAAATGAAACATGGATATTTTCAACCGAACGTTGGATGAGATTTCGAATATCTCCAGAAAGACTTTCGTGATAATATGGGAGTGAAACATAATTGGGCTTGGTAACGAGGTCTCTGGGGAAAGCAGTCTCCTGCAGGGTCTTAAGGCGTTTTTTGCGGATGAGTTTATTGATAATGTTATGGTCATATCCATTGTTCACTGCTATTTGCTTAAGTATATTTAGTTCTTTTTTGTAATTTAAGTCTGAGAGTGGAATGGTTACCAGGCGATGGATGTAACTATGAAAAGCTGCGTATTTATGCGACATGGGGTGGTTGGATGAGAATGGAATTATGTGATCAGTCTGTGTAGGTTTCCTTTAGATACTGAAGTCGAAGTGGTCATATTTAATCTGGTAATAGTGAGATCTAAAAAATTAATAGACATGGAAGATTCTAGTTCCATGGTGAACTTGATGTTGGGGTAAATTTGGTTGATTTTGGAAAGTAAAAGATCAGCTGAATTGGAATTACCTGAAATGAAGACTAAACAGTCGTCAACATAGCGAAACCAGTGGAGTATTTCAGGGTTTTTCATGATATGTGTGGATTATAAGTGATCCATAAATATATCAGCTAATAGAGGAGAGAGACAGCTACCCATGGCTAAGCCATCAGGTTGTCTGTAGTATTTGTTGTTAAAAACAAAGAAATCTTGATCTAAACAAAGCTGTAATAGTTGGATAATGGAGTTGGTGGTAGATAAGGTGATGGAGTTGGCTATGAGAAGAGAATGAACCACATTAATAGTTTCTTGTTTAGGGACAGACGTGAATAGATTGCTAACATCAAATGATAGCATAGTAATATTGGGGTGAAGGTTAATGTGTTGTAAATTATTGACTAGATGACTGGTATTTTTGACTGAAAATCGAGGGGTGAAGTTCGTCATATTGTTGATAAGATTCAATATAAATTTTGATAGGATGGAAACTGGAGTGTTAATAAAGCTGACAACTGGACGAATAGGAATGCCCTCTTTGTGTATCTTAGGTAAACCGTACAGTCTAGGTATTAAAGGATTGCTTGGGATTTTATAATATGGTGCAAAATGTTCTGAGAAGAAGTCTATGAAATGTTTAATATTGTCTTTTAATTTATTTATGAACTTTTTTGAGGGGTCTGTTGCAAGTAGAGTGAAGTTATTGTTATTGAGGAAGGTTGAGACTTTATTGTTGTATGATGTTTGATCTAGGATCACTAGGCAGTTACCTTTATCAGCTTTACTGATGATTAAGTTATGGGATTTGATTTTATTCTTAATTGATTTGAGAGTAAGGTTAAGCTAATAAAGGTAACTGCCTAGTGATCCTAGATCAAACATCATACAACAATAAAGTCTCAACCTTCCTCAATAACAATAACTTCACTCTACTTGCAACAGACCCCTCAAAAAAGTTCATAAATAAATTAAAAGACAACATTAAACATTTCATAGACTTCTTCTCAGAACATTTTGCACCATATTATAAAATCCCAAGCAATCCTTTAATACCTAGACTGTACGGTTTACCTAAGATACACAAAGAGGGCATGCCTATTCGTCCAGTTGTCAGCTTCATTAACACTCCAGTTTCCATCCTATCAAAATTTATATTGAATCTTATCAAAAATATGACGAACTTCACCCTCGATTTTAAGTCAAAAATACCAGTCATCTAGTCGATAATTTACAACACATTAACCTTCACCCCAATATTACTATGCTATCATTTGATGTTAGCAATCTATTCACGTCTGTCCCTAAACAAGAAACTATTAATCTGGTTCATTCTCTTCTCATAGCCAACTCCATCACCTTACCTACCACCAACTCCATTATCCAACTATTACAGCTTTGTTTAGATCAAGATTTCTTTGTTTTTAACAACAAATACTACAGACAACCTGATGGCTTAGCCATGGGTAGCTGTCTCTCTCCTCTATTAGCTGATATATTTATGGATCACTTATAATCCACACATATCATGAAAAACCCTGAAATACTCCACTGGTTTCGCTATGTTGACGACTGTTTAGTCTTCATTTCAGGTAATTCCAATTCAGCTGATCTTTTACTTTCCAAAATCAACCAAATTCACCCCAACATGAAGTTCACCATGGAACTAGAATCTTCCATGCCTATTAATTTTCTAGATCTCACTATTACCAGATTAAATATGACCACTTCGACTTCAGTATCTATAGGAAACCTACACAGACTGATCACATAATTCCATTCTCATCCAACCACCCCATGTCGCATAAATACGCAGCTTTTCCTAGTTACATCCATCGCCTAGTAAACATTCCACTCTCAGACTTAAATTACAAAAAAGAACTAAACATACTTAAGCAAATAGCAGTCAACAATGGATATGACCATAACATTATCAATAAACTCATCCGCAAAAAACGCCTTAAGACCCTGCAGGAGACTGCTTTCCCCAGAGACCTCGTTACCAAGCCCAATTATGTTTCACTCCCATATTATCACGAAAGTCTTTCTGGAGATATTCGAAAGCTCATCCAACGTTCGGTTGAAAATATCCATGTTTCATTTAAAGTACCCTACAATTTGGGTCAACACATTTCTAATTCCAAAGATCCCATCAATTATATGGATCGGAGTGGAGTATATAGATTAAAATGTTCAGATTGCAATGCTTCCTACATAGGTAGGACATGCAGATCATTGTCCTCACGTTCTCTAGAACACATAAAAAGAGAAAATACTTCCACCTTCTCCCAACATCTCAAAGAACACAACCATACCCTCAATATCCCAGAAGACGTTTCACGTATCCACAACATCCCCCCAAAAAACTTCCTTAAATTAGATTTATATGACGATCTTGTAATTTTAAAAGAAAAACAAAAAAGCCCAAATTGTGTCAATCGTCATGTATCCTTCAATCGAGACTTCCTTCCTCTTCATCGCCAACTATTCTCATAATTTTCACCACTAATTTACCTCTCAACTAAAATCCACATTTATCATCAAACTTCAGTCCATTCCAAAACTTTTACTTCAACATAACATACTCTCCATCTCTCCCCTCTTCTCTTCATTAAACCAAACTTCAAGTCTAACCCTCTATATCTATTACTGTCCATGCTTCTTGTTAGCCCCCCCAAAAATCCTAAACTATTCAGCAACCCTTTCTAACAAACATTTCAGTCCTCTTTTTACATTTTCACACAATTCCCTTAGGGTTTGGTAGCGGACCTCTGGTGATCTCAGCTTTCTGTAGTGGTTCAGTATCCCACCATTCATTCAAAACAACCATAAATTTCTTTCTTACTCAATTTGAACATAGCCATCTATTAATCTTTCAATTTCAAGTTAAGTCCAGTACACAACGCAGACACATTCAACTTATAACTTATTCATCAAATTTTTTCATGTACCTAGTGTTGTCTTATGACAGATAGGGCCTTTTTTAAGTTATAATTTGAGTTCTATATGATAAACATAATACATAACCATATCCCAACCATCAAATTTTGTTTATTTCACACAATAGTTGAACGAACACCTTAAGATCCTCATATCCATTATGAATAATATCAAATTACATAACTTATTCATCTGCAAAGATGACACTACAAAAACTTTTCGTTTCACTTAATATCAACAAAGCCAACCATACCATCAAGACAATTTAAGACAACTTATACCTACAACAAACCTAACTTATAACTTCTCCTTTTCATTTCTCTTGTGCCTAGTGTTGCCTTATGACAGATAGGACCTTTCTTAAGTTATAAGTAGATTATCACACTTTCAACATACTACATAATCATGTCCCAACCATCAAAAAATCTTTCGTTCATTACATATAATAGCTAATACAATAAAACTTCCACACCTTTTAGTCTGTTACTACCTTGTTAGACATTTATGTTCATGAACTTATAACTCAAAAATTTTCACATTGGCCAGGTACCAAATGTTGCTTCTGACATACAGGGCCTCTATATTTGAGTTAAAAGTTAAATAACACGTGAACATTTAATAAAACAGTTTTATTTTATTCATACAAGAACACTTCCAATTATAAATAAATACATTTAGATCCAACCATTAACATCAATATTTTCTAAAATTCAACATTCCACATGTGTCTAGTTTATATTTTTGGGTACCAAATGTTTAAGAAACATAAAGGGCCATATAATAAAAATTTTTCTATATTACATTGCTACATACATGTATAGTTGGTTGCCTAACTACAACCATACAATTTTTGCTCCCTTATATCATCTTATTTTCATAAATTAAAAACTACAACTTTGATGGTTGATACTGTTATATTAGTTTACTTAATTTTCACAATTTTAAATAACGTTGGCTTTTGTCTTAAGTAGAAACATACAGCTACATTGACTGCTCTGTGATAATTTCCGTCATAACTTAACAATATTGTCATCAAATGTTATTGCCAATCAGTTGCACTCATACAGTCCTCGAAGACATACCGTCTCAGGACTAGCAACTTCAACGTGGAGTCATATGTCGCCATGTTACCTAATCCATCGGTAACTCTATAATCTTAAATCATTATAACATAATTTTAAAACTAAATGTAATTAAACATCTGTTATCGGGTTTTTACCCATATATTTAATCTTGGTGGCTACATTCATGTACTCCTAGTATGTATTAACCACATTTTTCATTAACCTTAGTCAAAATTTTAACCTATGTTCTTTTTAATTAAGTGGTTAACTATTTTCTAGAACACTGATGATGGAACATGGTTTCCGAAAACGTTTTGTCTTTTTACTTAGCCCGTTTGGGCCTAAAATATATACCTATTACAAAGGATTTTTAATTAAATTTATTATACTTTATATTCCGTTATAATCAATATTCAGGGTAATTCTATAATAATTACTCAAACAAATTAATAAATATAAATAGGAAATACTACTTACTTTTTGTAAATATGCCAAATTTTGCTTTGTGAAAGATACAAATTCTTCGTTTAGTTTAATATATTTTAAATGCTTCTCAAAAAACATTCCGCTGGAAAATAAAAAATGTCAAGAATTAAAGAGTACCTTGGTTATTGAGTTTGGCATACAATTATAATCGCCTCAGAATATTTACGAGAATATGTGATGGATTCGTACTTGATGGAAGTTCATTTTATCAAGCAATAAAACACTGAAAACTTTTGTTTTAAACACTTCCACAAATTTTATTATAAATTATTATCACCACAGCTGTTTCGACAGCCTGCCTTTCTTAAGTGAGCTAACTTTGTTATGCATCTAACACTGTATAGTCTTTAACCAAATAAGTTGAGGAGGCGAGAACTGTTTGTCTCAAGTTGGTCATTCAGAAATATATTTGTATTTTTTAATTTGTTAAATTCAATAATAGGAAAACAGATTCTACTCAAGCGCTTTACCTTCTAGATCATAATCACTCTTTTAGTAACCAATTTCAAATTCTTCGAATTCAAAATAAAGAGCTTAAGCGATCACTATTACAATCTATGGAAATTAAAAACCTAAAAAATACATATATATATATATATATATATATATATATATATATATATATATATATATAATTCCGAATGACCGACTTGAGACAAACAGTTCTCCCCACCTCAACTTATTTAGTTAAAGACTATAAACTGTTAGACGCATAACAAAAATAGCTCACTTTGTAACAATTTATTATAAAGAAAGAAGGAGTTTTAAACTCCTGGTTTAAGAAACATTATATATTTATTTTACATAAAGTTATTACAAATAAAAATATCCAAATTTATCAACAAACCTTACACTGAGTTTAACCTTCTAACAAAACAGACTTTAACATTTTGGTTATGTACCAAATGACAGAAATGGATATACTGACTGTCGTATGTCGAAATGAAATAACAAGCTTTTCTGAATTAATAATTAATTATCAAGGTTAACTTTATTTAAAAACAAAACCAAAATATGACAATTGGCTGATCCATAAAACTTATATTTATTTATAAACTTTTAAACTGAAATGAGAGCAAATCTTGATATATTAAAGATAAATGTTTATTAAGAGAAATTTATCAAAACTACTTTGCTTTACTTTCTGATTATTTCTTTTTAAGTTATTAAGAAAGTTTATTACCTTAGATTTGAATAAAAAATATTGTTCCACACATACTTTAAACGATCTAGACCCGATCCATGGGAGACACAAAATGGAAGCAGGACAAATCTTGGGAGAGGTCAAACATCAAACTGGGCTTTAGGTTATCCTGTATGTATTCTTCAAAACTCGGCTTCTTATTTTTCACCATGTAGACCCACTTTGTCCTCAGAAACGCTGTTATCAGATCCCTTGAGACGGAATATAGCATTCAACAATCATGTGATTAACTAATTCAATCAAACAAAGATCATTCGAAAAAGCAATTATAATTATTATACACAGACTAAAAATGTTTATATTATCAATCTGAGTCGCAAAAAGATTAAGAATCTTTTTCGGTGTTTTGTTATATAAGGGGTAAAACGAAAATGCCAAGACTTCAGAAAGGCACTCTGTCGAAACAGCTGTAGTGATAATAAATTATAATAAAATTGGTGGAAGTGTTAAAAACAAAAAAGTTCAGTGTTTTATTGCTTTACTTACGAGAATACAGGTTCAACGTAACCGCTATTTATGTACTTATATATAGAAATATATAGGTAGATAAATAACAGTTTTATATACAGAATTATGCAGAATTAACTCGCTATATGACAATATATAACAAGAGAATAAAGAATATTTTCATTACTATTTATTACAACGGTTTAAAAACGGACACGATTTATTATTGCACATTATTTATGAAATGAGTTTTTTGAAAATTATTCATAATATTCACTATGCACAATCTTGGTGCTGGTATAAATGGAAGAATCTGTAGTAATTGGTAATGCTACTTGTACTTACTTTGAAACACCAATTTTTCCAAATGTTCTTGTTCTGGAGATTTCAGGTCGAATACATGATCTACCTTTTCTTTGAAGAGGATCCCTAATCCAGTCGTCCCAATAACTAAGAAAACGAAATATTTTAGGGTAGAGCTTTGAATGTAACAATTACAACATGCATAATCTATACATCTATATCTCTCTCTCTCTCTCTCTCTCTCTCTATATATATATATATATATATATATATATATATATATATATATATATATATATATTGTTATATGAAAATCACTAGGTTCTCGGGAAGAACCGCGTTGAAAATTTAATGCTCGACATTTCGGCTCCCATTTTGAAGCCATTTTCAAGATGGATATGGTTCGGTTCGAGTTCGGGGTCTCCCCTCAGTGTCACTCGGCACTGAGGAGTAGGCAGATTGAGACCTCAGTGCCGAGAGACAGTTCTTGTATTAATACAGAACACGATACTGGTACGTCTCGATTGAGGGGAGTAGGCAGATTGAAACCCCGAACTCGAACCGAACCGTATCCATCTTGAAAATTGCTCCAAAATGGGAGCCGAAACGTCGAGCATTAAATTCTCAACGCGGTCCAAAAATTCATAAGCCCAATGTTCCCCTAAGACCTATCGTCAGTGCATCCAACTGCCACACTCAGAAAATGGCAAAACATCTCGCTTTATCTTTACAACCATTATTGGTAGCGTGAATTGATAGCTAAGATATTGTAGAGCTTATGTATGAATGTGTGTGTCTTAATATCCGCTTAATTTGGCTGACAAATTTATAGCTAAATCTACGTGTTAAGTATGTGTTGGTATCATCTATACTTACAAGGTTTATTCGACAGCAGAAGCATAGAGTGCAAGCGTCTACGTTTTAAGGATGGAAGGATGCGCTTCTTAGCAATTTAGCTGACAAGTTTTCAGAGATTACTTTTCTGGTCCTCAGTTTACCTCTTAGTTTTAAACAAAGTTCTGTGAATGACAAAGTTTGATTCAAACTATCTTCAAGGTATTTATAGCAAGTCCAGAGTTTAAAAATTTCATGATACTATTGGATGTTTAGATTTGTAAAAGCGTCTCTGTTAGGGGCATTAAAGTTTTTTGTTGTGCAACAATATAGATCGTCTACCTAATAAAAGTTCTAGTATTTACTGGTATCTTCTTCTTAAAGTGCCTATCCGTTCCGGATGTTGGCGATCATCACGGCTATCTTTACTTTGTTCACTGCAGCGCGGAACAGTTCAGTGGTAGTCGTGTTATACCACTTTCGTAAATTTTGAAGCCAGGAAATGCGTCTTCTTCCCGGTCCTCTCTTACCATTTACCTTCCCTTGGAGAATTAGCTTAAGAAGGCCGTAACGTATTTACTGGTATGGGTTGTGTAAATATTATACAGTGTAGGTGCCATTACGCTACCCCAAAGGAGACCGTTCTTCTGCGTTGTCCATCTGTTATTTTTACCATTATGTAATACGAAAAATCTTCTGTTGTGTAGGCATACGCGGATAATACAAGTGAGTTTACTACCTAAGGCAATGTCACATAGATTTTGGAAATGCCCTCTAATTTAAGGTGTCGTAAGCGGCATTTAGTTTGACAAATACCACTCCTCATACCTGATATCTTTCGTACCCGTCTTTGCTGTGTTGGGCAAGATTTAGTATTTGTGACGTACGTGATCTTCCCTGTCTATTGCCACTTTAGTCTTTTAATTTGAGTTTTTCTTCTATTATCAGTAAAATTATATTAAGGATCACGTGCAGAAGTATTTTTTATAGCTGACAGAATAAATAAATATATTGGCCGATAGCTTTTGTGGAGTTTTTGCCAGGTTTAAGTAAGGCAATAACTTTGTCTTTACTTTGCTTGTCTACAGACTTTGGATATCAGCCATTGTTGTATTTTTGATCCAAATTTTAGAGTTAGTTTTGTGCTCAGATCCTTAGTTAGGAGCCGTAATATTGTTTATTATATACATAGATAGCAGATCCAAGCTCAACATCGCACCGTTGAAAGGTTCCCTCGGCTGACTGGTTTTGTCCCCTCTCATTTTAAGTTTTTCTTTGCTTCTTTATCGACATTTTATTATGCGATTTTTAGCGATCAGCTTAATACCAAATACAATATATTTGGCCCTCAATATGTTTCTTCTTCTTCTTGCAGTAAGTCTTCTATCGGAGGTTGGCTACCATCACAGCAATCTTTACTTTGTAGGCTGCAGCTCAGAACAACTGTATTGAACTGCACCCATACCACTCTCTTCAATTTCGCAACCAGGAAATACTCCTACGTCTTATATTTCTCTTTTCCGAGATTTCTCCTTGGATTATGAGTCTAAGCAGAGGATACTATTCTCCTCTCATTATGTGGCCCAGATATTCAAGTTTTTTCGATTATATGGTTTTTACGACTTCGTATTCCTTCCCCATCTTCAGCAGAACATCTTGATTTGTAACTCTTTCTGTCCATGGTATTTTCCACATTCTCCTGTAACACCACATCTCGAATGCCTCAATGTTTTTTATGTTTATCTTTTTCAGTGTCCAGGCTTCCATGCCGTACAGCAGATCGGAGAAAACATAGCACCTTAACATTATTGTTCTCAAGTTTATATTTATGTCCCGGCTGCATAGGAACTTTTTCATTTTGACAAACGATTGTCTCGCTATCTCTATTCGCCTCTTGATTTCTCTTGTCTGGTCATTACTATCATTGAAGCAAACCCCTAAATATTTGTAGGACGTTACTCTTTCAACTGACTGATTATTTATGGTTAAATTCACATTGGTGTATAGCTTATTTGTTACAATCATGAATTTAGTCTTTTTGATGTTCAGTTTTAGACCATACCAATTGGTATGAGTGTTTATGTTTTCCATCAAAAACTGTAAATTTGCTAGGTTATCTGTTACTATTAGCGTGTCATCAGCGTATCGTATATTGTTAATTAACTCTCCGTTAATGTTCATACCAATGTTTTGCTCTAGGAGCGCTTCCTGATATATTGTTTCGTTATATATATTGAATAATAGTGGAGAAAGCACACAACCCTGACGCACACCTCGACGAATTTCAATTTCTTCGGTTAACTCATTATCAACTTTGATTTTTGTTGTTTGTCCCCAGTACAACCTGGATATGATGTTAATGTCGCGACTGTCGATGTTTTTGCTTCTTAGGATTTCATACAGCTTTTGGTGTCTGACTTTATCGAAGGCCTTCTCAAAATCTATGAAACCTACGTAGACGTCTTGGTTTACTTCCAAACATCTTTGTATTAACACACTCATACCAAACAAAACTTCCCGTGTTCCCAGTCCACCTCTGAATCCAAACTGTGTGGTGCTTATGTCCTCTTCTAATTTATTAAATATTCTTTTGTAAATTATTTTTAAAAATACTTTTAGTGTGTGGCTCATCAATGCTATAGTTCTTTGGTCTGAACACTCTCTGGCGTTATTCGTCTTCGGGATTGTGACAAAAGTAGAGGAGAGCCATTTCTTTGATATGATGCCTGTTCTATAAATTGTGTTAAAGAAGTTCACAATTATTTCAAGTGCGTCGTCGTCTATAAGTTTTAACAATTCTACAGGAATTTCATCTGGTCCTGCAGCTTTACCCCCTTTGGTGTTCCTTATAGCATATTCTACCTCGCTTTTTAGGATTTCAGGCCCTGTTGTGTCGTCTGTAGGTTCTGTCACTGCTATTTCTGGTCTTTCGTCTGCAAAAAGTTCTTCAATGTATTCTGTCCATCTTGCCAGTTTTTTATTTAAATCTGTAATTATTTTACCTTTTTGTCCTTTACGATGGATGCTTGTTTCACTTTTTTACCTGTTATTTCCTTGATCTTGTTATTCATGTTAAAGCTATCATACTTTCTATCATATTTATCTATTTCGTTGCAGTTGTCCAGAACCCAGTTCTCTTTGGCTTCTCTAATTTTTCTCTTAATATCACGGTTCACTTCTTTGTATTTTGTCTTGTTTATTTTATTTCTTCGCCTTTCCTCTATGAGATGCATAATTTCGTTTGTCATCCATTCCTTTTTCTTAAATTTGCTTGGAGGTAAGGAGCCTTCACCAGCTGTCATAAGGGTTTTTTCTATCTCCGTCCATTTATTCTCTACATTGCCTGTGTTCCTATTTTTTGCAGCGATGCTTCTAAGATTGTTGTTTACCTGTTCTCTTGTCCTTTCCAGTATAGTTGCGTTTTTCAGTTGCTTAACGTCTATCTTTTGTTTAGCTGCACTTTTCTTTATTTTCTTGAACCTTATATTTACTACCGCCACCACCGGATTGTGATTCGATTCTATATCAGTGCCTGGATAGGTTTTTGTAGACGTGATGGCGTTTTTAAACCGGCTTCTGATTATTATATAATCGATATGATTCCTGACGATGTTGTCTGCATTATCCCTTGGTGATGTCCACGTGTACAATCTACGGTTTGGTAATCTGAACATTGTGTTCATTACTACAAATTCTTTTTCTTGGTAAAATTGTACGAGACGTTCACCTCGGTGGTTTCGTTGTCCAAGTCCAAATTCACCAGTGCATCCATTAGTTTTCACTTTACTAACTTTAGCGTTGAAGTCGCCCATGATTACAGTGACCTCTTCTTTTTTGGTCGATTCCAGAATGTATTCAAGTTGTTTGTAGAATTCTTCTATTTCCTCATCCTCTTTCTCATATGTTTCCTGCACTAGAAATACGTCACATTTCTGTTAAGCGCATATGTCTGATAAAGTTAAGTAAAGTAAAGTGTCTTTATCTCTAGATATTCCCTTAATATACATAATTATGATAGTTGGCCTAAAAAGGACCGATTTTGCCGATCTTAAAATCCTATAAAAATGGCAAATCTTTTACTTTTCATTAAAAATTTAAATTTTACATACTGAAAGCTACCTTTATGAAAAGTAGAATCTATGGAAATTAGCAAATTAAAAAATAAAGACATAATTCTGAATGGCCAACTTGAGACAAACAGTTATCCCCTCCTCAACTTATTCAGTTACAAACTATAATATTATGTAAACGCATACCTCTTTTATTGTTAGATAAAATGAATTTTCATCAAGTAACGTTTGAATCCATCACTT